CATGCCCGCCGCTGCAGCTCCGGGAGCAGCGGTGATGCGAGCGGGTGGAGCAGCACAGAGAATCACAGGAGCGTTCGGGTGGGAAGGGGACCGCAAGAGCATCTCGTTCCTCTCCCTGCCATGGGCAGGGACACCCTTCACTAGCCCAGGTTTCTCCAAGCCCTGGCTATGGACACTCCAGGGATGGGGCAGCCACAGCTTCCCTTGCCAGGGCCTCACCAACCTCACAGGGAAGAATTTCTTCCTAATATCCAATATGAACCTACTGTCTTTCAATTTGAACCCTTTCTCCCTTGTCCTGTCACATGCCCTTGTAAATAGTGTTGCTGCATCTTTCCTCTAAGTTTCCTTCAGGTTGCAATTAGGTCAGCCTGAAACTTCTCTTTTCCAGGCTGAACAATCTCAATTCTCTCAGCCTTTCCTCACAGCAGAGCTGCTCCATCCCTCTGAGCAACTTGGTCCCTCCTTTAGCCTTGCTCCAACAGCTCTTTCCTGTACCAGGACCCAGAGCTGGATGCAGTGTTCCAGGTGGGGTCCACCCAGAGCAGAGGATCTGTGCTCACTGTGCACCAACACAACACCTGCCCCAACCCAAAACCTGCTCAACATCAACATCAAAGCTCTGCATGCTGCTCCTGCCCTGCTTGCACTTCTGCATCCCTTTCCTGAGCCAGCTCAGTGGGGCCTGGGTGCCCTTTGTGTTTGCTCAGAAGCGAAGGCAAAGAACTTTCTGTGTTCCCATGGGGAGGGAAAACATTGAGCATCATTTCTTTATCTCTTAACTGCCAACTGCTATCACAAATAGAGTAGTGATGGATAGCTGAGCATTTAAGGGATGGTTTTGAAGTACTTACAGGGATGTGAGGGTAAGGAAACAACTCCATGCACATTCTCTGAGGCAGACACAGCTGAAGGGCCTCCATGGCACTGGAAATCCAGGTGGAAGAGACCAAAATCCAGCCAGGAAAGGCACAAAAGCATTATGAAAATACAGTAGAGCCAGTATTTCTGACTTGTGCATGCACGTGTCCTACAATCATTATACACACATTAAACTATTGTTTTAATAACCATCCCCTACCCCAGTGCTTGGTGCTTTGTAGAACCATCCAGACAGCCACAAATGTGCAAGTTTGATACCTGAAAGCTTCCCAGTGCCACCTGCCTGTTTCTTTTTCAATACCTTCATTTCTAAACCCCAGAGGTATGTTATAAAACCTTTGGCTGGTGACAGCAGCCTGGCCTGTGAGCCTTGCCCTGCTAAACACGCTCCCAGTGGTAATGGGAGTGGATTTGTTCTTGGGGGAAATGCCAGCAGCTGGCTGCAGCAGTGCCCTGCAGCCTGAGCAGGTGCCTTTTGGCTTGATTTTGTCCTTAAGCTGGTTGTATACAAGAGGGAGAAGGTTGAAAACCCAAAACATGGTTTCCTGTGGCCTCAAATAATCTCCTCTCTCAGCTTGGCTGTCTCTTTGTTTTCCCTTACTTGTATTTTTGTTTGTCGTTCACAGTTAATTTGAAATCTGTGGGTGAATCTTGGCCCTCATGAATAAGAGTTGCTTTTTCACAGACAAACTGCATCTCCCTCCTTGAATTTTCTTATTTATAAACATTATAGGACACTTAATTATGGGATTAAACAGGAGTGATAAAATGTTACCCTAATGCAAGAGTGAGGTTTGGTTGTTTTACCCCTCTACAGTTATTAACTGTGATTTGAAAAGGAGGAGAAATTGTAGCTGGTTCAAGGCTGCCAGCCTTAGACATTCCAGCAGAAAATGAGAAGGGATTATTCTCAGGGAGCAAGGGAATGAGCTGAGGCAAAAAGGAGCTCCCTGGGAGCACAAAGCCATGCTCAGCCCCTGTGGTGCAGCAAAGTGTCTCACCAGTCTAAAAAGTGACTTTTTAAAAAAGACTTTTTTAAAAAAGACTTTTAAAAAGGACTTTTTAGCTTTTAACAGAATTACCAAAGTTTGGGTGGGGGAGAAAAGTAGTGGGGGAAAGTGTGTTTTGCAAGGTAGGAATCACAAAACTTACCTTGCACAAGGTACAAGGGTATTTACTCTTTGCAGCAGCCAAGCCTTTCCTTAAACTTTAATTCCTTAAATTACTTAAAATGCACTTAAAAATCCAGTGCTCTCTAGAACTACCAAGATTCTCATTGTCTTGAAGTTTCTACTGCATAAGGAGAAACAATGTTCCCAAGGCATTTTTGACAACGGTGTTCTGAAGATATTTGCTGGAAATTACTTTTAATTGTTGAAATCTGTCCTCATCTCAGCCAAACATTTGTGTCTTATGCTTTTAACAAAAGAATTCTAGGGGAAAGCAGATGGAATAATAAAAGAGGGAATTAACTGAGAAAAAAAATAGAAATAAAAGCCAGGAGAGAATAAATAAGAGTAGCAGTGAAAAGCTTTTAACAGAATTCTTTCAGGGTGAACTCAGCTGGGCTTCTACCTGGATTAATTGTAATATGACTGCACGTATTGCTAGAACAGATTTATTTGGTTTATTGCTGGTTTTCCTAAGAAGCCAACCAGAAATGATGGCATCTCACATTCCCCAAGGGAAATGTCTGTCCAGCTCCATCTGCAGGACCAAAACTGCTCAGCAACATCCTACATCTTTACAGAGTTTGTCTTTGACATTCACCAGGCTGTA